GCGGCGCTAGCTTGAGCGGCTAGCTTCGTTCTAAAGCCTGCGGCGCTAGCTTGAGCGGCTAGCTTCATTCTAAAGCCTGCGGCGCTAGCTTGAGCGGCTAGCTTCATTCTAAAGCCTGCGGCGCTAGCTTGAGCGGCTAGCTTCGTTCTAAAGCCTGTGGCGCTAGCTTGAGCGGCTAGCTTCGTTCTAAAGCCTGCGGCGCTAGCTTGAGCGGCTAGCTTCATTCTAAAGCCTGCGGCGCTAGCTTGAGCGGCTAGCTTCGTTCTAAAGCCTGCGGCGCTAGCTTGAGCAGTTAGCTTGATTCCTTGGCCTGCGGCGCATGCTTGAGCGGGTAGCTTCATTCCATAGGCTGCGGCTTGAGTGACTAACTTCATAATAACGTCCCTACACGGAAATCTACTCCGAAACGCACTTTCCGAGCAAAAAGCAAAACAACGAAGATATCCGGGGATCGAACCACCGATGGATAGATTAGCAGTGCGAAGCGCTAACCACTACACTATGCAACGCTTGGCAGCACGCGCCAAACACCCGTTTTATGCCTCAAGAATCCGGGGCAGGGGAAGGAAAGGCATCGAGAGGCAGGTCCAAAGAGACGACCAAACTCGCGAGTGCAACTGGCAAGAATGAGGAAATTTGTATTTTTTCACATTATGCAAATTAGCCCTCCCGGACCCCCAAAAATCAATAAAACCGGCTTTAACTTTGTAAACTTGTATTTTATCGCGATTCTGAAAACGCGATCCGATAGAGAAGGGTCGATTCCCCCGGGTGACGGAGAATTAGGGCATTTTGGACACGGGAAGGCCCTCAAATCGAGCCTCGAAAGTGACATCCACACACACACACACACAAAGATACGCGACCAAATTATATAAGGTAGGATGACCAAAAGGTCAACCTCCCCCCGCTAACATTCCAGAACCGTTTTTTGCACAATACCCCTAAAAGTAAAGCAGTGGAAGTGAGGAGACAAACTTGTTGTTTCAGAAGAGTATAGGGCGCTTTTTGGAACCTGGAACCTCGTAAAAATTATTTAGTTTTTCATTTCTGAGCCAGGGATCTTCAGCAAACTGCCATTGCGTTTTAAAGGACCTCTGAAGCATAAAATCATCCGGAAAGCTGGAGTTAAAAAATTCATAACCTTTTTCTGTTTCTGAACGTATTCAAATTTTGAATGAACAAGGTTGCCGGTGCCAACTGCTTCGTTTTAAAGCAACTTGGAAGCATGAAATCATCGAGAAAGTGTTAGCTATAAAATTACGAAAGCTTTATTTTCTGTTTCCGGGCGTGATACGGTTGGATAAATAGATTTTCCAGTGGCATCGTTATCGATAAAATAGCCGGTATCCAGGTTAAAACCTTTCTGTTTTTTTATATTTTTGTACGCGGTGAGCTTCAATAAACGCTTTTAGCAGCTTTTTCGTTTTAAAGGAGCCTGGAAGGGTGAAATCATCGATGGAAAACGTCTAAACAAAGCTATCTGCAACGCTTAAAAATTATTTTGCAATTTTTTATGTATCTCGTTCGTTCTATGTTAGCCGTTTCACAAGATATCCGATTCCATCCGGGACCGCGCTTTTCGTTGACCCCAGCCGAGTCAGGGGGAGTAGAGAACCGCCCGAAAAACTGTGCGGATGTCCTCGGAAAAAAAACTGATAATTATCAGGCAGTCGGAGTGAATGGCCGCCTTCCCACACATTATCATTGGTTTTTTTTTAGGTGGCGGATCACCGTGGGATCAGCGCTATCAGCCACACTCAGCCGAGAAAAGTTACTCGGCTTTTCAGATGAGGCTTTAGCTGATTTTTGCTGGTCGTAAATTCTACAGTTTTTTTGTGAAGCTGTACAGAAGGTGATTTTTACTTTTTCGCTTCAAACTTTTTGCTCGTGGTTGGTAGGTTCGAAAGCTTCTTAAAGCTGTAAAACAATAAAAAATGACTTTTGGTGCTGGCGCATTATCGGGGGGGGGAACAACTTTTTACGTATAAAGCCCAGATAGACTAGTAATTTCATAGTAAGTTTTTAACGTTTTTTAGTAATTAACCATATTTCAAGAGAAAAAGCAGCAACAAAGAAAAATTAAAAAAATTTTTAACTGGAACTTGAAAAGCTTTACGTTTAGGGAAAGTAGAAAAAACAGTTTAGAAACACTTTCGCTATTTATATTTAACAAATTGGTTCCTAGAAAAAACCTCCCCCCCCCGATACTGCGAAAGAACCGAAAATTTGTTCTAAGGCTGCTTCTCAGCTTAAAAACGAGTTGACAAGGTTGTTAAATCTTAAAAATTACTGTTAGACGGTTTTTTGTGGTAGAAAATCGGATTTTTTAGTATTCTTTTTGCGTTAATTTCCGTTTCACCGGTTCGAGTGATACGCCCGAGTTGATACGGGTTACACACGCGCGGCATTACTAGACCAGCTGGGCGGCTCGACATCGTTTTCGCCCCCCTTTTTGTCCTTTTTCGACAACGTAAACGGCCGGAGCGACGTGAAAGCCGGAAAGCCGTCCCGGGGAATCATACTCAACACGACTGCCGCCCTCAATGGCTCGCGCACCGATTATCGATCATCCCCTCCTCCCTCTCGTTCTCCCCTTTGCCGCGGCACCTAATTTTATGGGGTATCAGTTTTGGGGAAAGCGAGGATCAGCATTGGAGCAGGAGCCTGCGGCCATATATTTTTTTTTAATATTTTGAGGGGGCTTTTGCGTTTTGGGGGGGCGGCTTTTTTCTTATCAGTCCAGAAAAGCCAGTTAATTTTTAACAACTATTTTAATAAAATACTTTGTACAAATTTGTATATATTTCAAGCGGAAAAATATCCAAAAAAAACTTAAAACCTTTTATAATGCATGATTTCGGGCCAAAAATCAAGATTTTGTATTTGACTGCCAAAAAATACAAACTACAACTACAAAACTAAAAAAAATGCTTAATTTAGAAAATTGGAATCTAAAGAAAAAGTTGGTTTTGCCTCCTGCAACCCCCCAGATAACGCGAGAGAACCGGTTTATATGTCCTTTTTGCTACTTTTCAACGTCGTTCAACATTTTTGGGTGCTTTCCCATTACCGGGGGGGGGGGGTTTCCTTAGAAGCCAATTTTTCTGATATAACTGGAGGAAGCGTTTCGAAACTGTTGTTTTACTATACCAAACGTCAAAACTTTACCAAATTTTATCAAAAAACGAAAATATCTATTTTGCGTCCAGAAATGGCCGGGTTTTGACCAAAATTAAGAATTGGCCAATTCACCAAGTTTTGTAGAAAATTTACCACTTGAGATAAGTTAAATTTTAGCAAAAAACACTATTAAAACAATTACTACGGGGCATTTCAGGACTTTGGGAATCTGTCTCCAAGTTTTCCCAGTTTTTAATGACTTTTTCTCAAGAGGTTTTTTAGCCATTAATTTTGCTGTTTCTTATAATTAACAGCCCACTACCCAAAAAGTGTTGGCAAAGGTTCGAAACCGGCCTCGAATACCAACAGAAGCCGAGGAGGGTTTCCATTTTTCGTTTGTCTAGACCAACAGAGACAATGTGCTCGCGCTCTTGAATAGCCTTCGCTGCTTGGCGTGTGTGTTCCCGGTCCATGGGACACCTGCGGCCGAGGGACTCGGATACCCTGATCGGTAAGCGTTCGATTTTTCCGGAAATGGCTTACGATATTAGCATTCTGCGAGTATACGCTTCTTTTTTTTGTTTGTCCTACGAATCGGCAAACAAAAACAAAGCCAATTTGCTCGTTTTGTTCGTACTGGCGCGATAACGGAGCCAGGGGGCTTAAAAGTATAGGTTCGTGGGTAAAATCTGTTAAAAACACGGTTTTAGCTATAGAGGAAGAGCATTTTGTCTAAAGGGTTAGAATAGCGTAGAATTCTGTTTAATAAATTGTTATAAATTTCTTATGAACTTATCTAACTCTAGTTTTTGTCGATTCATTGCTTGTGGCTGCCTGCTTGTAAACAAAAATTCGTTCTTTTCAATTGCACAATAAAATCTTTGCACGGTTTGTCTAGATTTAATCTCCGTTCTCAGCTCCTTTCTTTCACAAATAAATTTTTTGTTGGGCCATTTCGACCGTATTCGAAAGCAAAGCCTGAATTTCTTATTCATGAATAAAATTACTGTAATTTCTATCACCCAACCAATAAATGCTTTTATTTTTGACATTTGAATGCATTTTTCAGCTGATTTTTCTAGGAAATACAGTTTTTAGGCTCTTTTTGCGCGACTGAGCAGCGTCTAAGCACCCGAGAATTTGCCATTTTTTCTATTTTTTTTCTTGTTAATACCTTTACTAGACTAAACTTTAAAGGATTTTAAGCCAGCAAAAATTATGATTAATCGACGGGAATTTTAGTGATTGGGTGGGTTGGGGTGTCCATTCGGGTTCGAGCGGTCTGTTTGCACTACGGACCGTCGAGGCAAACTCACCCATCTCACAAGCCAGCCACTGAGCGAGAGAGAGAGAGAGAGAGAGAGAGAGCCACCCTCGATTTTATCGCTTCTCACTGCGCTTCATTAACTCGTAGGGCGTTCGATACTTTAGTACCGTTTCTTTTAAATGGGGCCGGAAAGTATTGCTCATTTTTCCAGCGGATTCTTGACCTCGTCATCGAGACGTTCTCCGCGATCTAGATGCTTATTGTTAGGCCTAGGCCTAGGCTTAAGCTTGCGTTTAGGCTTGGCTTAGGCTTCGACCTAGGCTTAGGCTTAGGCTTAAGCTTATCCTGAGCTAGGATTTAGCCACTACTTGACATTCTATTTCTATTTCTTTCTATATGCTTTTCTACAAAAAAACCGCGACCTGAGCAAAATCTATGTGAAAACCGTTACCTTAAAATCCAAAGCCAAGTCTTTCCCATCCACTTAAAATATCGATTTTTTTTCAGCCGATTGACAGTATCGTTTTCCATTTCTCAACCCGTTTTCAGCATTTTAGAATTGATTTTTTAGTTGTTGCAAGTAATTTTTGCGGTATTTTACAGATACATCATGCCGGGTATCCTTGGGCCGTCCTCCTCGTCGCGGGACAGCGACGACTTTTCCATCCAGCTCACCGACGCGTCGTGCCCGGCCTGCATGCAGATGTGTAGGGGGTTTTTAGAGAGTTATGAAGCATATAAGTTTACCAGCTCAAAAGCAAAAGATTCTTTTTTGATTAAAATACCCTCTATTATTTTTAGACAGCGACTCCGAGCCTAAGCGGGTCCCACGGTTACCGCCCCTTTGCGGCCACTCGATGTGCACGGAATGTATTGGAAAAGTCAGGTTGGTAGAAGCTAATTTTTTGGGCTTCTACGCACTAATAGGCTAATTTGGCCAGAAACTTTAGAAAGTGCTCCTTCAGCTTAAAAACTTTTAATCGAGCTTCAAGTATCGAATTTTTGAGTTGAAAATCTGGGGATCTTGTGCAAGTTCTTAAAAATCGAGAAAGAAGATTTTTCAGAGCGTGCGTCGTGTGCCGTCGTGGTTTCTACGGTGACTCCACGCACTTTAAGATCAACTACACACTAATGGGTAGATGTTTGGAGATTTCAAATTATTAAAAAGTTTTTCAGGGCTCGTCTCCGAGCTGGCCAAGCAGGGCGAGGTCCCCGACTCGACGGCCAAGTGCGCGTCGTGCGAGGGGAGGTCCAGGTATCCCTCACGCTCTCGCTCTCTCTCTCTCTCGCTCTCTGTTCTCTCTCTATCTCTCTCTGTGTCTCTCTCACTCTCTCGCCATTCCAATTTCTAGGGTCGAACGAATGCGGGTATGTCGAACATGCGCCAGGCAGGCAAAAATCGACGTGAAAAAGGCGAAAATCGTGGAGGTAAGCCCTGAAAAATTTCCTAAATTCCGAAACTGTCCAGATGACGGCACACGTCTTCTGCTCGGATTGTGCCATCGAGAAACATCTTGATAAGAAGCATGATATGGACAAATATCTGGATTATTATGTGAGTCCAGTATCTTTGTAGTCCCTTTAAACTTGAGGTATGATTTTATCGATTAAGATTTATTTTTACTATTTTTCGTCAGTGTTATTTTTTTACTTTGACAATTTTCAGAATCGCCTGGAGATGCAGGGAATTACGGAAAAGATGAAGAGCGACCTGTGCGGGATCCGGGATACTGTACTCCAGATTGGGGTCGATTCGCAGGCTGGGGCTCAAAAATGGATACATGTGAGGCTCGCGCCACCTTTCTCTCCCTATCTCTCTCTCTCTCTCTCTCTCTCTCTCTGTCTCTCTCTCTTCTCTAGTCTCAGTTTTCAGGAGATGAACAAGCTCTGCCAGGCGGGTACAAAAATCCGGTCCACCGAAGAGGGACACCGTATGCGGGAGCAGGCCAATGAAGAAGTGCAAAAGGTCGGCCAGAAGTGACCATTTTTTTGGAAAATGACTGGACTGTCCCTTTAAAAGAATTGAAATGAAGACAGAGAGAGAGGGAGAGAGGGAGAGAGAGAGAGAGAGAGAGAGAGAGAGAGAGAGAGAAAGACATGTCTTTGCCTTTAAAACCCCTTTAACATCATCTTTTAGCTCCAAGACGCCGTAGCTGCCCTGCAAGAAGCCCAGAAGCTTTTTAATGAAATCAGCGAGGTAAGGGCAATTTTTTAAAGCTAAAAAGTAGGCAGCCCAGCAGAGATTCTTTAGGAAAAGACCATACTTCTTTCAGGAAAGCCGCCTAAACCTGCGAAAACAAATGGACGACCTCCGACAAGTACGGCGTAAAGAGCGTGGCCGCGGAATTTTCGGGCGTTTTGGCGGCTTTTTTTATCGGAGTTTGACGACCAGGAAGAAGGTAGGTTATTGATAAAATCGTACCTTCAATCATAAAATTCGATATAATTTAAACCCAATATAAAAATTCGAAAAAGCGTGGTTTAGGCAATAGCAGCCCCGGAAGTCAGCCAGGATTCTGGAAGCATCGTGTCGGCCGATAAGACTTGATACAGTGTTTTTATCGGTTTTGTGGTAGTTTGAACCTCTCTCTCTCTCTCTCTCTCGCTCTTTCTCTCTCTCTCTCCTTCTCTCTCTCGCTCTCTCTTTCTCGCTGATTATATGATTTTTGGGTGCCATTTTGCCAAGTGAAATTCGTTTCTCGGGTGTTGCGCAGAAATGAAGATATTTTCACCGTTTCGACGCAATAACGATACACAACGAAAGAGAGGGAGTGAGGGCGAGAGAGAGCGAGAGAGCGTGAGAGAGCGGTAGCGAGAGATAGCGAGAGAGGGAGAGTGTATGTGTGAGACATAGAGAGCGGGAGAGCGAGCAAGAGAGAGAACCCGTGAAAGAGAGATGAGCGTGAGAGGGAGTGAGTGTGAGAGTGACAGATAGATAGATAGAGAGAGACCGACAGAGAAAGAGCGAGAGAGTGAGAGAGGCGAGTGAGACATATAGAAGGAGATAGAGACAAAGGCTACTTTTTGAGTTCCCAGCCCCTTTAAAATGCTCGTCCGGCCAAAAGAGCCCAAAACGGGTCCCGGCGCGCCAAAACTGTGGCCATCCCCTGGTAGCGCGCGGGACTCGAATTTCTCTAACAAAAGGTAGACGCGCCTGGGGCGAGGTTCGGGACCCGTTTTGGGCGCCCCCATTCGGCCAGGCCAACCGCTCGGTTCCTGGCCACAAACCGTGTCAACACTTCCTGCAAATTTGGCAGGTTTTCGATTTTTAGATTTTCCTGGCTCGGGAATAGCTTAAGTTTTCGCTTTAAAGGGCCTTACAAGACTTGACTATTTTTCAAGCTAGCTTGAAAAATTCACCTTTTCAAGTGAATCTCGATGGCCTCGACACCAGAAGCTCCTCACAACATCGAGACCCTCGAAGCCGTCATTGCCCAGGAATTCTCGTACATCCACGGAGAAGTGGTGGAGGAGGACGAGGAGGAGCAGAGTGTGATTTTTAGCATTTTCTTTTTTGATTAAGGCTGTTTTCAGGAGCCTGAAGATGGAAATCACAATCAGGACCCGGAAAAAGATCTCCAGCAGCTTTCCGGGACTATTGGAGCAATTTTGTGAGTTTATGAAATCGGAAATTCGAATCTTCTCTAGCCTGTCCTGGAATTCCAAAACTGTCTCTGTGGGCCTGCCCTAGCGTTAGTAACGGATCTCTGCTAGTCTACCATCAAGTTCTCACAGAATCTCTGCCAGCCACTCTGAGCTACCCCTTCGATTAATGAAAATTCTTTGCAGTCTGCCCCTCAAATTCCAAAAAGAATCTCTGCAAAGTGGTTTGCTGTTGATATTCCTCAAAAAATCTCTGCCAGTTTGCTGGTCTGCTAGTCTATCTGTCCAAATTCTTTAGTAATCTCCGCCAGCCTACCTCCATTTATCCTCAAGAATCCCTGCCAGCCAGCCTACATTTATCCTCAAGAATCTCAGCTAGCCTGCCGCAAATTTCCAGCCAGGCCAGCAGAGACCATTTGCGGAAAATATTAAACTCTGCTAGCTCACGTTTTCGATTCCCCAAAGTCTCTGATCCTGAATTTCCTGAAAAATCTCCGCTAGCCTGCTATGGATTAAGGCTACTCTAGTTTTCCATCTTCTTTTCTTCGAGGCAGGCTAGCAGAAACCATTTGCCGGAAAAATATCAAACTCTGCTAGTTCGCGTTTGGCTTCCACAAAGAGTCTCTGATATCCTGTACACGTCCAATACATGGTAGCAGAGGCCATTTGCGGAAAAAACATTATGCTTTGGTGCCCCGGGGATGTGGTTCCTCAAAGAGTCTCTGCTAACCTGCCCCTCAATTTCCTCAAAAATCTCTGCCATTTAGCCCTCTGCTTCACAATCAAGGCAAGCTAGAGCTACCATTTGTCAAGAACACATTTTTATCCACCTGTAAGCGAGCGAGTATTTCGAAAGGCGTGTGTGTCAGTTGTGGACAGCATTTCACGTATTGGCTGTGGCCCCACGGGCGATCGAAAGTCTCCCTCTTTTTTCATCTGTCTTTCGGCCCCCTCATGTGCTGTAAGAATGCCGCGGGCTCTAGGCTTTTCGGCGTTTCGCCTCAGCTTCTGCTCGTTTTAGCCCGCCCCTTCCTGGACCGGTTAAAAAACGGCACAAAAAGGCATTATGACAATTTCTTTAATTATTTGGTTTTAGTCTTTTTTCGTTTTTAAAAGGCTTTTAAAGGTTTAGGTTGTAAAGGTTTCTCGACGTTATTTACACGCAAATTTATCTTTCATAGGTATTAGAGAATCACGATCCCTTTATACTCTTGCTGCTTCAGAAACTCATGCTCCCTGAGAGATTGATGCTTTTGAGACTGATGCTCCTTTTAACGACTCCAGCTCCTTTTAGTAACTCGTGCTAACCAGAATTCATGCTCCTTGAGAGACTCATGCTCCTTTCAGGGACTCGTACTCCTTAAGAGACCCATTATCTTTTCGAGACTCATGCTCCTCTTAGAAGCCGATGCTCCGAACTCATAATGCCTTTAAAAAAGAAATAGGAAGTCTAGGCAACCTTCCCCAGCTTTTTCTGACCTCTAGCTCCCAGCTCCCGGCTCCTTCTAAGTGCCGATTATCGGCTCCGAGAACTTATTTTTTGCTCCTAGCTTCCTCTTAACCAGCTAGCTCTGGCTTTCAACGTCCCTTTAAAATACAAGATGAAAGTATCCTCAAAACTCGCTTCAGAAACGACGAAAAAATGCCGTACACTACCACCACCGTCGAGGAGCGGACCGAATACTATGCTCCGCAGAGCAACACCGTGCAGCTTGAGATGCCGGATGTTGGTTTTTATCGTATCGTAGAAAAAGAAAAAGGCCAAAATACCGTATTCAAAATACCGACAGCCGAAATGCCGATATCTAAAATACCGACAAGCTAAGTTCCGACATTCAAAATACCCGGCCGACACGGCCGAGACCCAAATGCCGAGAGCAAGCGCGTGAACTAAAATGCTCTCGGCTTTCGTTTCCCTTTTCCGCTGTCGGTATTTTCGATAAGGGTCTTGTTGTCGGTATTTTAGCTGTCGAAATTTAGTGTCGGGATTTTCGCTCCAACCCCATCATGTATGCTTTTTGAACTACCGAATTATCGTTTTTTTTTCAGATGGAAACCTCGTACCTGAAGACGCTGGGCGGCATTATGAAAATTGTTTGCATTGTGGGTTTTATCGCAAAAAAATTGATATTAGAATAATTTTAGGCTTTATGTTTGCTCACGTTCCTTTGCGTACTCATCGGAGGACCCGGATACTATTCAGGCTCGTCGAAATCAGTGGAATTTCCAAGTTTTAAAACCCTCTTTTGCTAGTGTCTTTTTCTTCAAAAAGAGTTTATTGTTGTTTTTAAATTAATTTCTGAATTTAAATTCAACTGCCGCGATTTTTTAACGGGACTTTGAAAGCTGCCCCCATTTTTGCAAAAATAGAATTTATTCTGAGGGTTTTCTGGTATTTTTCATGGTGATCAAGAAACTGTTCATCTTCTAAATTTCAGGAGCCGGTTGGGCGACATTCGTGTCTACCGTAGGCCTGTCTATCACCACGCTTCTCCTCTTCCTGTACGTCTTCAAGGTGGTCGACTCGGTGCCGCAGATCAATTGGATTATTTGTGTAAGTTAGAAATCGCGAAACTGGGATTTGAGTGTTTGATATTCGTAAGAATAATGTAAAATTCGCGCCGAAAAATGTCCATACTTATTTAGGAAATGGTGTACACGTTCATCTGGACGATCTTTTTCTTCATCGCCGGAAGTGTGCTGGCTGTAGCTTCCGTACAGTACGCGCAAACGGCCGGCTGGGCGATCGCTGCGGTAAGCCATTAACGCTTAATCGATAACCGCAAGCTAGCAAAGATTCTGTGAGGAAAAGAGGCGACATATAGAAAATTGGAGAAAAATTCTTTTAGTATTAGAACATACCATGCTTAAGCTTAGGCTTAGGCTTGCAGTAAAGTGTCCTGGATCAGAGTAGGATTTTTAGATGAGATCAAACTAAAGCCTCCCTTAGAAACGGATCTTAAATAGCTCCAAAAAATAGCCAATTCAAAACTAAATAGAGCAAGCTAGCAGAGATTCTGTGAGGATTCACTAAGAAACAAGATAACACTAAGAAATTCTTTGTTCCAGTTCTTCGCACTAGCCGCAATGTGCGCCTACGGCTTTGACTGCTACCTCAAATTCCTGCAGTGGAAACACAACGAGGTGGGTGTCAAGAGGAGTTTACCGGATTACCGGATTTCCAGCGTTAAATTTTAAAACGGAGAAAAGGAAGCCTAATAAATTTCGTCTAAATTTAGGTAGCTACCGGTCGCGGGAAAGCCTTCTTCCAACCGTCCAGTGCCTGAAAAAAAATATTATTTTTGCAGCTTTTCTTGGGTTTGATAAATGTAATGTATTGTGACAACTGCCGTGCCTTACAGTCTTACAGTAGCGTGCAAAAAGAAGGCAACACCCAGGACGCTCTTGTAACTCGGCTACCTCGTTATATTTTGCACCAAACGGAATGTTTCCTAGTGTTTTCGATGCTGTAGAATTCGATGAGCAGGCTCCCAAGCCGCGCAAATGACGTTTAGTAGCTTAAATATCGATTTTAAAATAGCTCCAAAAAATCGACTTTTTCTAAAGGCATTTTCCGGTTCAAAAACATCTCCATCGTGTTCAGCATGGTCGATTTACCCAAAGTCAGTGTCGTTTGTGATGGGATTTGACTTGGCCTAGCCGGGAAGCGGAGTTTTCCTTGCGCCAAACGGGTCAAGAAGTGGGCTCGTCTGGGGGAAAGGTATTGCAGGCGCCCCCATCAGACCGATGGCGACCCCTATTAATCGCAGCTTCCTAGCCGACTGAAGACGTCCTAAGCAACCAGAAACATTGACTGTGGGTAAATCGACCATGCTGAACACGATGGTGATGTTTTTGAACCGGAAAAATGCCTTTAGAAAAAGTCGATTTTTTGGAGCTATTTTAAATTCGATATTTAAGCTACTTACGTCATTTGCGCGG